TTCCGTGGTCAGCTTTGCTCGGCTGCTGCTCTGAAACGAGGTGGGGGAGGATGCATGCGTTACCAGGCTGTGCAAGCATGGAAACCCTTAAAAACCTTAAACAATCCAGGTTTAATACTTAATACTATGCTGGAAGTTCACGAGATGAGGCCTCTGGTTACATATAAATGGTATCTTAATGTAACTAAGCTCTAACTTAACCTACTTTCACGCCCAGCCAGGGCCGTATAACTCCCATATAACGTGGTGGGAGCAACGAGTTAGAGATACTAACTACCTCTAACTCGTTGGGTGGGAGACCATTACAGTGGCGCGCTCTAGAGCATCACCTTACACGAACTAAAATACGAACTGCTACTAACGTTATTTAAAACGTGCGTGGGTTCTCGGGACGCAAACACACAGGCTTGATACAAAATATCGCGCTACCTTTTCTTTCATGCGTGTATTATTATGAATAAATGAATTTTAGAAGATACACATAGTATTTCACTTCCTTTGTAATTTATTTCAGAAATCTCTCATAATCAAAGTGTATTCGTATTTCTTGACCAATTTGTATGTGCAAAAGTTGGCGAGCCTAACCAGCAGCTGTATTCGGCGACATTAGCGCATCCTATAGTAGCAACATCTTTCTTTGTCCCCAATTTTGATGGAGAGTTGCCGGGCCCTGCGCTCAGCGATCAGCCTGACGTTCGGCACGGACCCGCTGCACGGTTGTGGCGCCCGGAACCCATAGAGTAGAGATATACTAGTGCGCAGAAGGCCCAGCTAGGTATCAACATCTCTCGCGCCCGAGTCACGTGACTTTGGGACAACTAGCAGGCATCTGCCATACACCTGTCTCGTACTAAATGATTTCATTTAATAAGTATCTAACATGCTTCACTCTAGCGTTATTTTCTCATTTTTTACACAGCCCTAAGAATGCTGCTTATAGCAGAAAAGTTACTTTAAGCTATTCTGCTATTTAATTAAGTGCATGAAAATTCCGATTTTTGTCTTACTTGTCACTCTCAACCGCGTACCCCACTCCACCTGTTTTCCAAGTTCTATTACATAGGACAATAAATAAAAAAATATTTGTAAAATAAATTAACTCCATGGGAGTCATTAATCTAAGTTTCTGTTACTACTTAATGCTAGAAATTCCGCTATTGATAAACCACATCAGATATATAACAGCAAGTTATCAAAATATTTCAAGGATTTGTACAGGGGGAAAACAAACTTTTATTTTGATATATATTTTGATTTATTTAGTCAATAAGTAT